GCCCACGCTGAGCCGGGCTTGGCTGTCGGGCACCGCCTGTGGAATTTCGGGAACGAAGGGCTCGGGATGAGGCACCCCAAAAGATTCGGGCGCCCGGAAGGGCGGCTGCGCCTCCTGGGGCGGGAATTGCGCCCCAAATCCCAGATTTTCCATGGATCCCAGGTTGGGATCGGCATCGGCGTCGTGGTACAGGCTGTGGGAATAGCGGCGGTCCAGCGGCACTCCCGCGGCTCCGTAGGGATGCGGCTCCTCCCCGAAATCCTCGGGAAGCGCGCGGGGCTGGAGCGGGAACGCCAGCCCGGTCCCTGTCCCCAGCGGTGTCCCCATTCTCGTCCCCATTTCTGTCCCCATAGGTGTTCCCATCCCTGTCCCCATAGGTGTTCCCATCCCTGTCCCCATAGGTGTCCCCATCCCTGTCCCCATAGGTGCCCCTATTCTTGTCCCTATTTCTGTCCCCATCCCTGTCCCCATTGGTGCCCCCATCCCTGTCCCCATAGGTGTCCCTATTCGTGTCCCCATTTCTGTCCCCATCCCTGTCCCCAATCTTGTCCCCATTTCTGTCCCCATCCCTGTCCCCATCCCTGTCCCCGCCGCCACCGCGCTCCGCGACGCGGGGACACCCTCGGGGCGCTCCCCGTGCGGTGCCACCCCCGCGGCGACAAAGGGCGGCTGTCCCGCCACCCCCGCGGCGACAAAGGGCGGCTGTCCCGCCGAGGCGAAGGCGAACGACGACACCGCCACCCCCGAGGCTGTCGCGCCCGCCTGTCGCCCGCGCCCCGCTTGTCGCCGCTGTCCCCCCGCGCCGTCGCCCAGCGGCCCGTCCCGCCAGTTGGGCGGCACCTGGCCGAACCCGAAGGGATGTCGCGCTTGTCCCCGCACTGTCCCCGAGGCGGGCGCCTGGCGGCGGACGCTGCCGCCCGTCCCCGCTGTCCCCGCTGTCCCCGCTGTCCCCGCTGTCCCCGCTGTCCCCGCCAGCCACAGGCGGCTGCCCGCGGGCCGCTCCTGCCCGGCGGGCACGAACTCGGCGCCGCTGTTGAGGAGGCTGTAGAGCCGCCCGTTGTTCTCCCACTGGATCAGCTGCCGCCACGGCTCCTGCGCCGCCGCCAGCAGCAGCAGCGCGGCCCAGAGCGCCCCTCGCCGCCACAGCCCCGCCGCCATCGGTCCCCGGCCGGTGGCACCGCTGGTGACACCGCTGGTGGCACCGCCGAGCGCCGCTCGGGCCCGTCCCGCTCGGAGCGCGGGGCCGGCAGCGCCTCCGCCGCCTCCTTTTCCTCCTCCTCCTCCTCCTCCTCCTCCTCTTTTTCCTTTTTTCCCCTCCTCCTTTTCCTCCTTCTCCGCTTCTTTCTCCTCTTTTCCCTTCTCCTCCTTTTCCAAGCCTTCCTCCCTCCTCTTCCTCCTCCTCTCCTCCTCCTCCTTTTCCTTCTCCTCCTCCTCTTTTTCCTCCTCCTCCTCTTTTTCCTCCTCCTCTTTTTCCTCCTCCTCCTCTTTTTCCTCCTCCTCCTCCACCTCCTCCTCTTTCTCCTTCTCCTCCTCCTCCTTTTCCTTCTCCTCCTTTTCCAAGCCTTCCTCCCTTCTCCTCCTCCTCCTCCGACCCCGCCTCCTCCTCCTCTTTTTCCTCCTCCTGTCCCTCCTTCTCCTTCTCCCCCTTTTCCAAACCTTCCTCCCACTCCCTCCTTTCCCTCCTCCTCCTCTTTTTCCTTCTCCTCCTCCTTCTCCTTTTCCAAGCCTTCCTCCTCCTCCTCCTCCTCCTCCCCTTTTTCCTTCTCCCCCTTTTCCAAGCCTTCATCCCTCTCCCTCCTCCTCCTCCGCAGGAATTCTGCTGCAGTTCCGCGGGATTCGCTCCAAGACTTCTCTCGCCGAGCGGATCCCCCACTCCGGAAGTGCATCCAGGCGGGAAAAAAACCTTGGAATTTTCACTTTTCCCTAATTTTTTAACCCCGGGCTGACTCCCGGAGTGAATTTTGGGTGGAATTCCTCCGGATTCGGTCCCGGGAAGCGCCTCCAGAGCGGATCCGGCCCTCCGGGAGAAGGCGCGAATTGCATCAGTGGGGATAAAAAAAAATGGAATTTCCCATTTTCCCGCTTTTTGAACCTTTCAGGGATCCCTTTTCCTGCCCAATTCCCGCCACTTCCCGATTTTCCCGGGAAAAGCCCATTCCCAAAGGAAAACCCTGCCCAAGAAATGGGATTTTTTTCCCAGCTTTTGCCTCTTTGGGGCCGTTTGGGATTTTCCCTCTCGATATGAAATCCCGAATTATGGCGAACGCCTGGAATTCATCGGGAATTTGGCTGGACCCCCCCCCCTTTTTTTGGGGGGGAATGTTGAATAAAAAAACGGAATTCAAAGACGGAATCCCCAAATCCCAAACCCCATGGTCAGTGGGATCCAAAATCCCTCTGGATCCCCCAAGAATTCCCAGGTTTTCCCCTCAGGAAATGCTGGAGTTGATGAAGCAGGGCAGGATGGAAATCCGGGAAAATTCCCAAATCCCCAATCCCAAACCCAAAATCCCATATCCCAAATACCCAATTCCCAAATCCCCATTCCCAAATCCCAGTCCCCAAATCCTGATTCCCAAATCCCAAGTCCCAGATCTCAAATCCTGGATCCCAGATCCTAAACCCCAAATCCTGGATCCCAATTCCCAGATTCCAGATCCCAAACCCCAAATCCCTAAACCCCAAATCCCTAAATCCCATAACCCAAATCCCAAACCCCAAATCCCCAAATCCCAAATCTCCAAACTCCAAATCCCCAAGCCCCCAAATCCCAAACCCCAAATCCCCAAACCCCCAAATCCCAAACCCCAACCCCCAAATCCTGGATCCCAGTTCCCAGATTCCAGATCACAAACCCCAAATCCCTAAATCCCATAACCCAAATCCCAAACCCCAAATCCCAAATCTCCAAACTCCAAACTCCAAACCCCCAAATCCCCAATCCCCAAATCCCCAAACCCCCAAATCCCCAATCCCCAAATCCCCAAACCCCCAAATCCCAAACCCCAAACCCCAAATCCCAAATCCCAAACCCCCAAATCCCAAATCCTCAAACCCCCAAATCCCCAATCCCCAAATCCCAAACCCCAAATCCCCGATCCCAAATCCCCAAATCCCAAGTCCCAGATCTCAAATCCTGGATCCCAGATCCTAAACCCCAAATCCTGGATCCCAGTTCCCAGATTCCAGATCACAAACCCCAAATCCCTAAATCCCATAACCCAAATCCCAAACCCCAAATCCCCAAATCCCAAATCTCCAAACTCCAAATCCCCAAACCCCCAAATCCCCAATCCCCAAATCCCAAATCTCCAAACTCCAAATCCCCAAATCCCCAAATCCCCAAACCCCCAAATCCCCAAATCCCAAATCCCCAAATCCCAAACCCCAAATCCCAAACCCCAAATCCCCAAATCCCAAATCCCGGTGTCACCGCCGCCAGGGGGCTCACGCAGCCCGCGCTGGAGCGGCCAATCCCGGGAAAACCCGGGAATTTTTGGGATCGGGATTTCTCGGGAGAGCGAGGCCGGGGAATCCCAAACTCTCGGCCGGAATTGGGGAATCGCCTCCGTCCCGGCATTCCCGGCGGGAATTTCCCATGTTCCAGAAGGTTCTGTGGCTCCGGAAGGATCCAATCCCAACATTGAGGCAGGAGAAATTCCCAGATCCAGGGGTTGCGGAGAATTCCCAAATCCCCAATTCCAAGCCCCTAAACCCCAAATCCCCAATCCCAAATCTGAAATCCTAAATCTCCAGTCCCCAAATCCCCAATTCCCAATGTCAAATACCCAATCTGAAATCCCCACTCTCAAACACAAAACTCCAAATCCCAAATCCTCAATCCCCAAATTCAAATCCCAAATCTCCAAATCCCAAATCCCCGATCCCCAATCCCAAAGTCTTCAAATCCCAAATCCTCAATCCCCAAATTCAAATCCCAAATCTCCAAATCCCAAATCCCCAATCCTCAATCCCAAAGTCTTCAAATCCCCAAATCCCCAATCTGAAATCTCAAATCGCAAACGCCAAACCAAAAATCCCAAATTTTTAATGCCAAAAACCCGAAATCTCCAATCCCAAATCCCCAAAGCACAAATCCCCAAGTCCACCTCAGCATCAAACAAATCCCATTCTCCAGGGGCTCCAGAAGATCCCGATCCCACAGGAATTCCCATCACTTCTCCCCAGCAGGAACAGGAAAGAATCAGTGGAACTTTCCCCCAAAAATTGGGAATTTTGGTGGGAAAAGAATCTAGGATGGGATTTTTTGGAACTCCATCCCAAAACCCCTAAATCCTGAATTCTGGAGCATCCAGAATCTGTCCATCATCCATCATCATCCATCCATCATCCATCATCATCCATCCATCATCCATCCATCATCCATCCATCATCCATCGTCATCCATCCATCCATCCATCCATCATCCATCCATCCATCCATCCATCCATCCATCCATCAATCCATCCATCATCCATCATCCATCCATCATCCATCCATCCATCATCCATCCATCCATCCATCCATCCATCCATCCATCCATCCATCCATCCATCCATCATCCATCCATCATCCATCCATCATCCATCCATCATCCATCCATCCATCATCCATCATCCATCATCCATCCATCCATCCCGCTCTATCCCCGCTCCATCCCGCTCCATCCCGCCCCATCCCGCTCCATCCCCGCTCCATCCCGCTCTATCCCCGCTCCATCCCGCTCCATCCCCGCTCTATCCCCGCTCCATCCCGCTCCATCCCCGCTCTATCCCCGCTCCATCCCGCTCCATCCCCGCTCTATCCCGCTCCATTCCCGCTCCATCCCGCTCCATTCCCGCTCCCGGTGCCTTTAATTCCCGTTTCCCGGCGCAGGCCCGGCCCCTCCGGTGACACAGCAGCGCCGGCGCGGGGCCGGGCGGAGCGCGGGGAGGCTGCGGCCGGAGCGGGGCCGGGCCGGGCCCTCCGCCGCTCATGGCCCTGCCCGGGGCCCGCTCCGCCCGCCCGGCGCCCGGCGAGAGCCCGGCCCTGAGCCCGCAGCGCCGCCGGTGCGTCCGGGGGGCTCCGCCGGAGGGGGGTCCGGGAGGGCGGGAGCCGCCGGTGCGTCCCGGGGGAGCGGGAGCGGGGATGGGGCACCGGGGGAGCTCCGCCCGCCCCGAGCACGGGGACAGCCCGGCCCTGCCGAGCCCGCAGCGCCGCCGGTGCGTGCGGGGGTCCCGGAGAGGGGACACGGGGAGAGGGGGTTCGGGAATTGGGGAATGGGGATGCGGGATCCGGGCGTGGAGGATGCGGAGAGCGGGAATCGGGAATGAAGGAACCGGGGATGGAGGATTCAGGAATAGGGGATGGAGGAACCGGGGATGGAGAATGCGGGAACCGGGGATAGAGGAACCGGGGATGGAGGATGAGAGCGGCGGGGACAGACACAGGGGGATGCGGGCAGCGGGGCTGGAGGATGCGGGAACCGAGGATGGAGGATTCGGGAACCGGGAATTGAAAATTCGGGAACCTGGGCTAGAGGATGCGGGAAACCGGGGATGGAGGATTCGAGGATGGAGGATTCGAGGATGGAGGATTCAGGACCGGGGAATGGAGGATTCGGGTACCGGGAATTGAGAATTCGGGAGCCGGGGCTGAGAGATTCGGAGAGCGGGGCTGGAAGCTGCGGATACCGGCACCCTCCATCCCCGGAGCCCCGGAGGACGCGGGGACCGGGGCTGGGGATTGCCGGTACCGGGGCTGGGGATTGCCGGTACCGGGGCTGGGGATGGCCGGTACCGGGGCTGGGGATTGCCGGTACCCGGGCTGAGGGATGCACCGAGGATGTACCGGTACCGGGGCTGAGAGATGCCGGTACCGGGGCTGGGGGATGGCGGTACCGGGGCTGGGGATTGCCGGTACGGCGGATAGGGGATGTACCGGGCATGTACCGGGGCTGAGAGATGCCGGTACCGGGGCTGGAGATTGCCGGTACCGGGGATGGGGATTGCCGGTACCGGGGCTGGGAGTTGCCGGTTCTGGGGATGGGAGATGCCGGTACCGGGGCTGAGGGCTGCCGGTACCGGGGCTGGGGATTGCCGGTACCGGGGATGGGGGATGTACCGAGGATGTACCGGGGATGCACCGGGGATGTACCGGGGATGTACCGGGGCTGAGTGCTGCCGGCACCGTGGCTGGAGGATGCCGGTACCGGCGAGGGAAACGCGGCCCTACCGATCCCCGCTCCCCGTGCGCACCCCCGAGCCCGCTCCCCCCGCCCCGCCCCGCTCCCCCCGCGCCGTTCCCGGTTCCCGGGGGGGCACTCGGGGGCACGGCGCGTTCTCCCCCCGCCGCGGCCGGGGCGGGGCCGGCACCGGAGCGCGCCGGGCTGGGGGGATGGCAGCGGGAAGGGCTCCGGGAGGGGCCCCGGGGCCGCTGTCACTCCCCCGCCGGGCTGTCCCCGCCGGGCTGTCCCCGCCGGTAACGTAACGTGTCCCCCCCGCCACAGCGAGCGGAGCAGAGCGGCCCCGGCCCCCGCGGAAAAGCCCTGAGGGAGGCGGGAGCCGGCGGCGAGGAGGAGGAGGAGGAGGAAGAGGAGGAGGAGGAGGAAGCGAGGGAAGGAGCCGGGGGAAAACAGGAGCGGGAAGAGCTCGGAGCGGAGCCCGGGAGCGGCCGGAGCGCGCCGGTGAGTGCAGAGTGTCCCCGTGTCCCCGGGGTGTCCCTGTCCGTGTCCCCGTGTCCCTCTGGGTGTCCTCCTGTCCCTGTGTGTGTCCCTCTGTTCCTGTCCGTGTCCCCCTGTCCCTTTGGGTGTCCCCTCTGTCCCTCCGGGTGTCCCTGTCTGTGTCCCCCTGGGTGTCCCTCTGTTCCCCTGTCTGTCCCCCTGTTCCTCTGGGTGTCCGTCTGGGTGTCCCTGTCCCTGTCCGTGTCCCCGTGTCCCCCTGGGTGTCCCTGTCCGTGTCCCTGTGTCCCCCTGGGTGTCCCTGTCCGTGTCCCTGTGTCCCCCTGGGTGTCCCTGTCCTTGTCCCCCTGTCCCTCTGTCCATCCCCCGCGGTCCCACCCTGCCAAGCTCAGCCTGGGGAGGACAGCGGGAGCCCACAGAGGCGGGGTGGAAGGGGAGGGGGTGACATTCCCAGCGACACTCCCAACCCCCATCCTGCCCCCCACAATTTGCGGCGAGGAGCAGCCTGAACCCTCCCCAAGAACCTTCCCGTCCCTTGTCCCTCTGTCCCCGCAGGAGGACAGCCGGACACCGGACCCGCCACCCTTCCTCCTGGGCGACACCCGCTGGAATTCCGCTTCCGAGCAAACCCTCTCCTCCTCTTCCTCCTCCTCCTCCTCCTCCTCCTGCTGCCGCCACCAGCGGTGTCACCGCAGGGCCACCGGCGGAGCGTCCCCGCATGGTGCAGCAGCGGCGGCGGCGTTAAGATGGTGAGAGCTGGCCGGGCCGGGCCGGGCGGGGAGGATGAGCAGCGGCACCGGCAGCACCGGCAGCACCGGCAGCACCGGCAGCACCGGCCCGGCCGCTTAGGGCACGATGGACTCACGGAGCCGCCGGGATGCGCAGCCCGCCCGCGGCACCGCCAGCACCGGCACCAGCACCGGCACCGGCACCGGCACCGCCGCCGCTCCCTGCGGGGCTGAGGGAGAGCGGGAGCGCATCCGCGGCCGCATGAGGATGGTGATCGGGCAGCTGGAGGGAATCCTGAGGGAGCTCAAGGAGGTGGCCAAGGAGCTCCGAGAGGTGCGGAAACAGCCCCGGGGCTTCGGGGCAGTCCCAAAGGGAACGGGGTGGATGGACGGGCCGGTCGGGATGTGGCAGCGCCACGGGGTGATTCACCCTGAGGTGGGGTTGTGAAAAAGGGGAGGAAATTTGGGAATCTCTGAGGTGAATTTCCAAAAGAGAGGAGGAAATTTGGGTGTTCCTGAAGTGGATTTCCGAAAGACAGGAGGAAATTCGGGAGTTCCGGAAGTGGATTTCAAAAAAAGAGGAAATTTGGGTATCCCTGGGGTGGATTTCCAGAAGAGAGGAGGAAACTTGGGAGTCCCTGAGGTGGATTTGGAAAAGACAGGAGGAAATTTGGGTTTCAGAGAGGAGGAAATTTGGGAGTGCCTGAGGTGAATTTCCAAAAGACAGGAGGAAATTTGAGTATTCCTTGAGTAGATTTCCAAAAGACAGGAGGAAATTTGGGAGTTCCAAAAGTGGATTTCCAAAAAAGAGGAAAATTGGGTATCCCTGAGGTGAATTTCCAAAAGAGAGGAGGAAACTTGGGAATCCCTGAGGTGGATTTCTAAAAGAGAGGAGGAAACTTGGGAGTCCCTGAGGTGGTTTTGGAAAAGACAGGAGGAAATTTGGGTTTCAGAGAGGAGGAAATTTGGGAGTGCCTGAGGTGAATTTCCAAAAGACAGGAGGAAATTTGAGTATTCCTTGAGTAGATTTCCAAAAGACAGGAGGAAATTTGGGAGTTCCAAAAGTGGATTTCCAAAAAAGAGGAAATTTGGGTATCCCTGGGGTGGATTTCCAAAAGAGAAGAGGAAATTTGGGAATCTCTGAGGTGGATTTCCAAAACACAGGAGGAAATTTGGGAATCTCTGGGGTGGATTTACAAAAGTGAGGAAGAAACTTGGGAGTCCCTGAGGTGGATTTGCAAAAGACAGGAGGAAATATGGGTGCTCCTGATGTGGATTTACAAAAAAGAGGAAACTTAGGTATCCCTGGGGTGGATTTCCAGAAGAGAGGAGGAAATTTGGGAATCTATGAGGTGAATTTACAAAAGAGAAGAGGAAACTTGGGAGTCCCTGAGGTGGATTTGGAAAAGACAGGAGGAAATTCGGGAGCTCCTGAAGTGGATTTCCAAAAGACAGGAGGAAATTTAGGAGTTCCGGAAGTGGATTTCCAAAAAAGAGGAAATTTGGGATCTCTGAGGTGGATTTCCAAAAGAGAGGAGGAAATTTGGGAATCTCTGAAGTGGATTTCCAAAACACAGGAGGAAATTTGAGGGTTCCGGAATTAGATTTCCAAAAGACAGGAGGAAATTTGAGAGTTCCGGAAGTGGATTTCCAAAAAAGAGGAAACTTATGTATCCCTGGGGAGGATTTCCAAAAGAGAGGAGGAAATTTGGGGATCTCTGAGGTGGATTTCCAGAAGAGAGGAGGAAATTTGAGTGTTCCTGAAGTAGATTTCCAAAAGACAGGAGGAAATTTGGGAGTTCTGGAAGGGGATTTCCAAAAAAGAGGAAAATTGGGTATCCCTGGGGTGGATTTCCAAAAGACAGGAGGAAATTTGGGAGTTCCTGAAGCGGATTTCAAAAAAAAAGGAGGAAATTTGGGCATCCTTGAGGTGGAATTTCACAAGAGATGAGGAAATTTGGGTATCCCTGGGGTGGATTTCCAAAAAAGAGAAGGAAATTTGGGAATCCTTGAGGTGGATTTCCAAAAAAAGAGAAGGAAATTTGGGAGTCTCTGAGATGGATTTCCAAAAGAGGGTAGGAAATTTGGGCATTCCTGAAGTGGATTTCCAATAAAGAGGAAATTTTGGAATCCCTGAGGTGGATTTCCAAAAAAAGAGAAGGAAATTTGGGAGTCTCTGAGATGGATTTCCAAAAAAGAGGAAAATTGGGCATTCCTGAAGTGGATTTCCAAAAGAGAGGAGGAAATTCGGGAGTCCCTGGCTGGTGGCTTTGAGCCAAGGTGGGATCATGGATTGAGGTTCCCTTAGGGCCACCAAAAATGTCCTGGAATTGTGACACTGGGGTGTCCCTAATGGAGCCTTTGGAATGTGCTTGGTGTGGGATCATGGATTGAGGTCCCCTCAGGGCCACCAAAGTGTCCTGGAATTGTGGCACTGGGGTGTCCCCATGGAGGACTGGGGAATGTCCATCCCAGTGTCCATCTTTGCTCAGGGCCACCAAAGTGTCCTGCATTAGTGACATTGGGGCACCCCCATGGAATCTTTGAGATGTCCCTGGCTGGTGATCTGAGCTGAGGTGGGATCATGGATTGGGGTCCCCTCAAGACCACCAAAAATCCTGGATTTGACACTGGGGTGTCCCCATGGAATCTTTGGAATGTCCATCCCAGTGTCCACCTCTGCTCAGGGCCACCAAAGTGTCCTGGATTGTGACATTGGAGTGTCCCCATGGAGGATTTGGGATGTCCCTGGCTGGTGGCTCCGAGCCGAGGTGGGATCATGGATTGAAGTCCCCTTAGTGCCACCAAAAATCCTGGAATTGTGACATTGGGGTGTCCCCATGGAGGATTTGGGACATCCCTGGCTGGTGGCTCTGAGCTGAGATGGGATCACGGATTGGGGTCCCCTCAGGGCCACCAAAGTGTCCTGAACTTGTGACATCCTGGTTTTCCTGGTTTTCCTCCTTCCTTCCCATCTGTGCCAGGGAAAACCACGATTAAAATCCTTGGATGGAAAAATCCCCAAATCTCCGTTCAAACCACCCCAAAAATTCCCATGGGAAGGGCCCATCCCGTCTGGAATTTCTGGAATGGGATCAATGGGGTTCCCTCGCAGCCTTTTCCCTGGAAAAATCCTGCTGGCGATCCCAATGGGAATAAATTCCCTAATAATGCTGGGATCAATAGGGGATTAACCGGGAACGCTCGGGAACATCCAGGGGTTGTCACCCCAAAAAAAGCAGCTTGGGAGAGGGTTGGGAATTATTTAGGAGTGGGATTTTGGGGAATTTTGGGAGCTGGGTTTTGAGGACTTTGGGAATTGGTTTGGGGGATTTTGGGAGTGGGTTTGGGGATTTTGGGAGTGGGTTTGGGGATTTTGAGAGTGGGTTTTGGGGATTTTGGGAATTGTTTTGGGGGATTTTGGGAGTGGGTTTGGGGATTTGGGGGAGCTGTGTTTTGGGGGATTTGGGAGCTGGGTTTGTGGGATTTTGGGAGCAGTTTTTGGGGGAATTTTGGGAGCAGTTTTGGTGGGGTCTGGGCCTGGATCTCTCTATCCAGGGCTCAGATCCACTTCCCAATCCTCTTCCCAAATCCCTGTGGGGACGGAGAGCCTGTCAGATCCCACCCTTGGATCCTGTCAGATCCCACCCCTTTGATCCCATCAGATCCCAAACTTCGATCCCATTGGATCACAGACCCTTGATTCCATCAGATCCCACCCTTGGATCCCATCAGATCCCAAACTTCGATCCCATTGGCTCACAAACCCTAGATTCCATCAGATCCCACCCTTGGATCCCATCAGATCCCACCCCTCTGATCCCAGCCCATAATCCAGGATCTGGAACCACCAATCCCAACCCCAGCAGGAACCTCCAGCTTGGCTTGCAGCCAAAATTCCCAAAATCCCATAAAAACAAGGATGGGGCTCCAGCTGTCCCACGTCTGCCCGAGCTGGGTGGGAACAGCCGGGATTTTATTGGGAAACTCCTGGCTGACACCAGGGACTCATCCCAGACTTTGTCCCCTGTTTGGAGGGGACAAATCTCCCCCAGTTCCCTGGGAATGTCCCCAGGGATTCATCCCAAACACCCTCATGGGCTTGGAGGGGGCAATTCCCCCCAAATTCCCTCATCCCAAACCTCCTCCCCTGCTTGTGGGGACGAATCCTTCCCAGTTTCCTGGGAATTTGTCCCCTAGAAGCAGGAAAGGGGATTCAGGATGAATCCCTGGGGATGTTCCTGGGAACTGGGGGATTTTTCCCCTATAAACACATGATGAGGTTTGGGATGAATCCCTGGGGATATTCCCAGGAAACTGGGGGGATTTTTCCCCTATAAACACATGACAAGGTTTGGGATGAATCCCTGGGGATATTCCCAGGAAGTTGGGGGGATTTTTCCCCTATAAACACATGATGAGGTTTAGGATGAATCCCTGGGGATGTTCCCGGGGAATTGGGGGAATTTTTCCCCTATAAACACATGATGAGGTTTGGGATGAATCCCTGGGGATGTTCCCAGGAAATTGGGGGGATTTTTCCCCCTCCAAGCTGGAAAAGCTCCGCCAGGCTCCATGAGGGAGGGAAAAGAGGGGGAGTAAATCCCAAATCCTTCTTTCCGTGTTAATCCCCCACGGGAGCCGGGTGTCACCGAGGGATTTAACTCTCGGCTTAAAATAGGGAATGATCCTAAAAATAGCCTGGAGTGACACTAATGCCAAGATGGGGACAGCCACAAGTGACACCAATCCCGGGATGGGGACGGGATTGGGATTGGGATGGGGACGGCTGTGAGTGACATCAGTCCCAGGATGGGGACGGGATTGGGATGGGGACAGCTACGAGTGACACCAATCCTGGGATGGGGCCAGGATCGGGATTGGGATTTGGATTGGGATTGGAATGCACTTCCTGCTGTTCCTGCTTCGTCCCGGTCCCTCCTGTGAGGCTGGGAAGGGACCTCAGGTGACAGGGCCATGTTGGCCCTATCCCAGGGCTGAAATTCCCATGGAAAACAGAGGAGATATTCCAGCAGAAGCATTTGGTAACAGAGTATTCCCAAATACTCCCAGCCTTCTTCCCAATTCTTCCTTGTCCCAAAAATGGAGAGGTCAGAAAATCCCTTTTTTAACTCTCTTGCTCAAATTCAGCTCTTTCTTTCCCAGAAAAGAGGAAAAAATAAAAGGAAAAGGGATCGCAAAGGGGTAAAACGAGTTCTTCTGCTTTCCAGGCTTCCCTGGGGATATTCCCAACAAGCTTCAAAGCCAAAGCTTGAGGGATGGAGGGATCCCATTTTATCTGGAAGTGTTGGGGTGGGGCAACAAAGCAGAAATCCAAGGGGAGGTGTTGGGACCATCCATCTATGGATCCATCCACCCATCCATCCATCAATCCATCCATCCATCATCCATCCATCCATCATCCATCCATCCATCCATCATCCATCCATCATCCATCCATCCATCATCCATCCATCCATCCATCCATCCATCCATCCATCCATCATCCATCCATCCATCATCCATCCATCCATCCATCCATCCATCCATCCATCATCCATCCATCCATCCATCCATCCATCCATCCATCCATCCATCATCCATCCATCCATCCATCCATCATCCATCCATCCATCCATCCATCCATCCATCCATCCATCCATCATCCATCATTCATCCATCCCTCATCCATCCATCCATCCATCCATCCATCCATCCATCCATCCATCCATCATCCATCCATCCATCCATCATCCATCATCCATCCATCCATCCATCATCCATCCATCCATCATCCATCCATCCATCATCCATCCATCCATCCATCATCCATCCATCCATCCATCATCCATCCATCCATCCATCATCCATCATCCATCCATCCATCCATCCATCCATCCATCCATCCATCATCCATCATCCATCCATCATCCATCCATCATCCATCCATCCATCATCCATCCATCCCGGTGTCCATCTCTCTCCGCAGGTCGTGTCCCAGATTGACCGCCTGACGTCGGACTTCGCTCTGGACCTGGAGCCGGACGCTTGGACTCCGGCCACAGCCAGCAGCACGTCCAGCAGCGACCGGGGCGGCGCCAGCCTCGAGCTGGGCCCGCTGGACTTCGCCGCCTCCGACGTCCTCTCGGACAGCTGGGAATTCTGCTCCTTCCTGGACGCCTCCACGCCCTCGGACCCCGGTGATTGCCCGGAGCCCCCGCGGCCGCCGCCGGCCCGGCTGATGAACGGGGGGGTCCCCGTGGCCAACGGCCCCCGCGGGGGCGGGGGGACCCCGGATTCCTCCAGCGAGGAATGTTTCGGGAGCGCCGCCGTTCCCAAAATCCCGGCCCAGCGGCCGGCGGGGACGCGGGAGCGCGTCCGCTTCAGCGACAAGGTGCTCTACCACGCCCTGTGCTGCGATGACGACGGCGACGCCGACGACGGCGGTGACATTCCCGACGATCCTGCCGGGAAGGGGCCTCGGGAGCAGCTCCTGAGGAAGCCGGGCGTGATCCCGATCCGCAGGGCCACCAGGAACAGCAGCACCCAGACCGTGGCCGACAAGAGCACGCAGACGTTGCTGCCCTACGTCCCGGCCAGGCAGAGAATTCCCAACAAAAACTGAACCCGGATCCGGGTTTGGGAAGGGTTTATGGGGAGGGGGAAAAATCCCTGGGAAAGGGGCTGGAAAAAATCTATATATAAATATAAATATATATTTCAATAAATCCGTACTCCTCATAAACGCTGAGTGAGAAGGTGGCAACAAATATCCCGATATCCCAATGGTTTTCCAGGCTCAGGGAGTTTTAAATGCCTTTTTTTTGAGGGATAGAAGGATATAAATCATATCCTTCAATAAATCATCCAGCACGGAGAAATCCTGACCCGACACGGATGTGCCAGGAGGAGACGGTCTCCATTCCGGAGGGCGGGAATGGCGCAGGGACTGGGATGTGGGAATGCTGGAGGGGGTGGCAGGATTGGGAAGGGAGAATTTCCCTTCCCTGGGATGCCTTATCCCTGTTTGGTTTAGGGAAAATCAGTGGGGTCGGATTTTCTGGCTGAGGGGGCTCGGGATGGCTCCAGGATGTCACTGGAATGTCACCGGAATGTCTTTCCCAACTCTGAGAGGGACAACGAGGGGACCACCAAAACCCCCAGGAACGAGGACCTGGCCTTGGAAACTCCTCCCCCCTCGATTCCCAACTTTTCTGGCGGAAATATCCCCCACCTCACGTCCTGTATCCACCTGAAAATGCTGGATTTGGAGCTGCAGTTTTCCTGAGCTCCCTAATCCCGCTCTTCCACATCCAAAGCCTGATTTTTCAGGGGAAGGAATCAGGTCCTGCTCTGGGAAACGAAGGAATCTGGAGCTCCAAATCCACCCCAGGTGTTTTTCCGAGGTATCCAAAGGGGTCGGAGCAGCAGCTGCTCCTGGGACAATGTTCCCATGTCCTTCCCGCTGGCACCACGTCCCACAGGGACACATTTCCATCCCGGAGCATTCCTGGCACGAGGCTTTTCCAAGGTTTTTCCGAGCCAAAAACGCCACCTCAGCTCCCGATTGCCAATCCAGGTGAGAGGAGCTGCATTCCCGAGCTTTTCCAGGCGCCATCCCAGAGCTGGGACCGTGGGATGTGCGGAATTCTGCTCGATGTAACCCAACCTGAGCAGGGCGAAACGAGCTTTTCCCCAAATCCTGCTGGATCTGATTGCGATTTTATTTTTTGGGCACACTGGGGAGGAGCAGCCTGGGAGCATCCTGGATTCCCATGGGAATATCCCAGTTTTGTTTGCCCGGCCCCACCGGGACACCGGGCATGGCGGGCAGAGCCCGGAGCACCGGTACGGCACGGCCCGGAGCGGGCTCGGCACGTCCCCGGCTCCCGGCGGGATCCAGGGGCAGGGACAACAACGAGGACACGGCCGGGAGAGCCTCGCGGGCCGCAGTCGGTGCCGGGACGATGAGGGGGGCATGGCTGGCCCCAATGGCCCTGCAGCTGGCCAAGATGGCCCCATGGTTGGCCAAGATGGCCTCACAGCTGGCCAAGATGGCCCTACAACTGGCCAAGATGGCCCCATGGTTGGCCAAGATAGACCCATGGCCGGCCAAGATGGCCCCGTGGCTGGCCAAGATGGCCCCATGGTTGGCCAAGATGGCCCCATGGCTGGCCAAGATGGCCCCATGGCCGGCCAAGATGGCCCCACAACTGGCCAAGATGGCACCACGGCTGGCCAAGATAGACCCACGGCTGGCCAAGATAGACCCATGGTTGGCCAAGATGGCCCCACGGCTGGCCCAACAGCCCCATGGTTGGCCAAGATGGCCCCATGGCTGGCCCAACGGCCCCACGGCTGGCCAAGATGGCCCCACGGCTGATCAACATGGCCCCATGCTTGGCCAAGATGGCCCCATGGCTGGCCCAACAGCCCCATGGCTGGCCCAACAGCCCCATGGCTGGCCCAACAGCCCCATGGCTGGCCCAACAGCCCCATGGTTGGCCAAGATGGCCCCACGGCTGGCCCAACGGCCCCATGCTTGGCCAAGATGGCCCCATGGCTGGCCAAGATAGACCCATGGCTGGCTAGGATGGCCCCACAGCTGATCAACATGGCCCCATGGTTGGCCAAGATGGCCCCATGGCTGGCCCAATGGCCCCATGGTTGGCCAAGATGGCCCCATGGCTGATCAACATGGCCCCATGGTTGGCCCAACGGCCCCATGGTTGGCCAAGATGGCCCCACGGGGGCTCCCCACAGCCCTTGAAAGAGGCCCCAGGGAGCAGCAGGAGCGGGCAGGGGGGATCCGAGGGCGTGGTCGTGTGGGTGTGGCCAGGTGGGTGTGGCTGTAAGGGGCGGAGCCTCTCTTCATTCGGGCTGGAGACCAAATCCCGGCATGGATCCACCGTCCGTCCCTCTCCATCCCAGCCCGAGGCCGGCGCGCTTCTCCCGGGCTGGATTTTGGGAATGTTCTCCCATCGGGATGCAGAGCTCAGGGCAGGACATCCAAAAAACATCCCCCACAGGGGAAGGATCCCCCAGGAATTCACACCCCATGGGGAAGGATTCCCAACAATTCCCACCCCATGGGGAAGGATCCCCCAGGAATTCCCACCCCATGGGGAAGGATCCCCCAGGAATTCCCACCCCATTGGGACGGATCCCCCAGGAATTCCCACCCCATCGGGACGGATCCCCCAGGAATTCCCACCCCATGGGGAAGGATTCCCAACAATTCCCACCCCACTGGGACGGATCCCCAGGAATTCCCACTCGGGATTTAATCTGGGAGCCAGCTCGGGTGTCCCTGGGGGATTTTCCCCCTCATGCCAGGGCTCCAACAGGCCCCGGGAATTTTTTCCTCTGGGAATCCCGACCCTTTCACCGTTCCCGGCCAAACCCCACAGAGCGCACGGAGCCGGGAAGGATCGACCGGAGCTGGGAAGGATCGACCGGAGCCGGGAAGGATCGACCGGAGCTGGGAAGGATCGACCAACACGATCCCGAATTTATTTGTCAAGGCACGAGGAACCGTCCCGATCCCGGATCCTGAAGAAGGACTCGACCCAAGGAGCCCGCGGGGCCTTCTGGGGACGCTCCGGCAGCGCCCAGAGCCCCCAATCCCACGGGAATGACGAGCTGGGGATGTCCCCAGAGTGTCCCCACAGCAGGACCTCACCCGGCCAGCGGGTGCCCCCTTCCCAAAATCGGCCCGGGATCGTTCGGACCCGCCGGGATCTGGCGTTTAAGGCCAGGAGGAGCCCGGAGGGACGTCCAGAGCGGGAGAAGGAGTGTGGGGAAAGGGCTCCCGGAGCCCCCCGGAGCGGCCTCGGAGCAGGGAACGGGGAATGTCCCCCCGGGATGGACACCGGGACACGCGGAGGGACAAGGGGACACCGGACAGATCCTCACCCCACCTTTCCTGGGAAGGATGGGAGGCGAGGAACGGGAATGGGATTGGGGACGGCAGAACTGGGTCCTCCCTCCGGGGCACTCCAGGGGTGTCACCGGACTGGGGGTGCCACCAGACTGGAGGTGTCACCACCCTGGAGGTGTCACCAGCCTGGAGCTGTCACTGTCCTGGAGGTGTCACCATCCTAGGGGTGCCATTGGACTGGAGGTGTCACCACCCTGGAGGTGTCACTGCCCTGGGGGTGTCACTGCCCCAGGAGGCGTCACTGTCCTGGAGGTGCCACCACCCCAGCAGTGTCACCACCCCGGGGGTGTCACTGTCCCGGGGGTGTCACCTCCTCGGGGACACGTGGGCGGGGCCGGGCTCCGGGCCCCGCTGCCGTCAATCGATCTCCTGCTCCCGACCTGGGTGGGGAAAAGGGAAAACGTCGGGATGGGATGGATAAAGCAATAGATTAATGGATTAATAAATTAATAAATTGGTACATTGATACATTGATTATGTATCAATGATACATATCAATGATTTATCAAATGGAGAAACTGATAAATTGATAAATTAATAAATTCATGGATTACTGGGGCCGCAGCTTGGAAAACTCTGGATCCTATTTCAGAAAAATCCTTGGATCTTTTTCCACACTTGGAAATCTCTGCATCCTTTTTCAGGTTGGGAAAACTCCGAATCCTTTTCCAACACCAGCAATTCCCATCATCCCAAAAAACCCACAGAAACCCCAAAAAACCCCAAATTCCTTCCAGGGTTGGGTGTGGGGAGGCTTTTCTCCACCCCAGAGGGGCTGGGAAAAGGAGGGATGAAGGAGGCAGGAGCTGCTGGATGCTGGGAGAAACTGGGAAAAACCGGGGAAAACTGGGAAAAACTGGGAAAAATTGGGAAAACTGGGGAAAAATTGGGAAAAACTGAGGAAAACTGGGAGAAACTGGGGAAAAATCGGGAAAAACTGGGGAAAACTGGGAAAAACTGGGGAAAATTGTGGAAAACTTGGAAAAACTGGGGAAAATTGGGGAAAACTGGGAGAAACTGGGGAAAACTGGGGAAAATGGGAAAAATTGGGGAAAACTGGGGAAAAACAGGGAAAAAGTGGGAGAAACTGGGAGAAACTGGGAAAAACTGGGGAGAATTGTGGAAAACTTGGAAAAACTGGGGAAAACTGGGGAAAACTGGGGGAAAATCGGGAAAAACTGGGGAAAACTTGGAAAAACCGGGGAAAACTGGAGAAAACTGGGAGAAACTGCGGAAAACTGGGGAAAACTGGGAAAAATTGGGGAAAACTGGGGAAAACTGGGAAAACTGGGGAAAACTGGGGAAAACTGGGAAAAAACGGGGAAAACTGGGAAAAACTGGGGAAAATTGGGAAAACTGGGGAAAACTGGGAGAAACTGGGGAAAACTGGGAAAAACTGGGGAAAGTTGGGGAAAATGGGGGGAAACTGGGGAAAACTGGGAGAAACTGGGAAAAACCAGGAAAAAGTGGGGAAAACTGGGGAAAATTGGGGAAAACTGGGAAAAACTGTGGGAAGCTGGGGAAAACTGGGGAAAACTGGGGAAAACTGGGGAAAACTGGGAGAAACTGGGAAAAACTGGGGAAAACTGGGGAAAACTTGGAAAAACGGGAAAATTGGGGAAAACTGAGAGAAACTGGGGAAAATGGGGGAAACTGGGGAAAACTGGGGAAAACTGGGAGAAACTGGGAGAAACTGGGGAAAAATGTGGAAAACTTGGAAAAACTGGGGGAAATTGGGGAAAACTGTGGGAAGCTGGAGAAAAGTGGGGAAAATTGGGGAAAACTGGGGAAAATTGGGAAAAATTGGGGAAAACTGGGAGAAACTGGGAAAAACCAGGAAAAAGTGGGGAAAACTGGGGAAAATTGGGGAAAACTGAGGAAAACTGGGAAGATTGGGGAAAACAGGAAATGGAAAACCATAATCTGGGAAAAACTGATGGAAAACACATGGGGAAATGAAAATAGGAAATGGGAAAATCCCCCCCAAAACCCAAGGAATGTTTCCCAGGCGGATTTTTGGGAGAAAAAGGGAATTATCCCGGATTTTCCAGGAACATCCACTCACCCTCTCTGCTCTCCGTGTTTTCCAGCAGCTGCAGAGCTGGGAAAAGGAAAAATGAAAATATCCCATGGTCAATCCTATCCCATTCCCAAGGAAACGGCTCCAAAATCCCTTTTTTTGGGGGGGATAAACCCCAAAAGCGACCCCCATTCCCAATTTCCCTGCAGAATTCCAAGGGTTTGGTCCCTAGGAACATTCTGGAGCTGCTGACGCTGGAAAATTATGGAATTCGGAGGTTTTATTATGGAATTCTGGCATTTTATGAAGGAATTGGGAGGTTTTATTTGGGAATTGGGAGATTTTATTTGGGAATTTGGAGGTTTTATTCAGGAATTCTGTCATTTTATTCAGAAATTGGGAGGTTTTCTTTGGGATTTTGGAGGTTTTATTAAAGAATAGGGAGGTTCATTAAGGAATTCTGTCATTTTATTGAGGAATTGGGAGGTTTTATTTGGAAATTGGGAGAGTTTATTAAGGAATTGGGAGATTTTATTCAGGAATTTGAGGTTTTATTATGGAATTCTGCCATTTTATTGAGGAATTGGGAGGTTTTATTTGGGAATTGGGAAGTTTTATTCAGGAATTTGGAGATTTTATAGAGGAATGGGGAGGTTTATTAAGGCACTGGGAGGTTTTATTCAGGAATTTGAGGCTTTATTATGGAATCCTGCCATTTTATGGAGGAATTGGGAGGTTTTATTTGGGAACTGGGAGGTTTAATTAAGGAATGGGGAGGTTTATTAAGGATTGGGGGGGGTTTATTTGGGAATGAGGAGGTTTATTAAGGAATGGGGGGTTTATTAAGGAATTATGAGGTTTTATTTAGGAATGGGGAGGTTTTATTATGGAATTCTGTCATTTAATTAAGGAATGAGGAGGTTTATTAAGGAATGGGGAAGTTTATTAAGGAATTGGGAGATTTTATTAAGGAATTTGAGGTTTTATCATGGAATTCTGACATTTTATTGAGGAATTGGGAGGTTTTATTTGGGAATTTGGAGATTTTCTTTGGGAATTTGGAGATTTTATTGAAGAATGGGGAGGTTTATTATGGAATGAGGAGGTTTATTAAGAAATGGGGGGGTTTAATAAGGAATGAGGTTTATTAAGGATGAGGATGTTTATTAAGGAATTTGAGGTTTTATTATGGAATGGGGTGGCTTATTAAGGAATGAGGAGGCTTATTAAGGAATGAGGGAGTTTATTAAGGAATGTGGGGGTTTAATAAGGAATGAGGAGGTTTATTAGGGAATGGGGGGGTTTATCCAGGATCAGGGATCTCAGAAAATCGGGAATACGGATGGGGCACCCACCTGTCTTGGGCTCCTCCCCCTCCTCATCCCGCTCCTCTGGCCCTGGAAAAGAAGGATCCCCAGGTGGGAACCCCATTCCCGGGATTCTGGGGGTGCCCCTCGTCCTTTCCAGGGTGGCACATTCCCAAAAATCCCAGCAGGAAAAGCCCCAGCTCCGAGGGACAGCCGTGGGGGATCCCTGGATCCCCCAAAATTTGGGATGCCCCAAAGTGAGAGGCCCTTTCCCACCCCCTGCTGCTGTTGCTGGGAGCAAAATCTGTGGAAATAACCCATGGAAAAAAGGTAATTCCCAATAAAAACTGGGAGCAAATCCATGGGAAAAATCCATGGGAAAAGGGCAATTCCAGAGGGCAACTGGGAGCAAAATCCATGGAAAAAGGGATGTTCCCAATAGAAACTGGGAGCAAAATCTATGGAAAAAATGAAAAAAAAGATCATTCCTGAGGGAAATGGAGAGCAAATCCATGGGAAAAAACATGGGAAAAAGGCAATTCCCAAGGAAACTAGGAGCAAAATCCATTGCAAAAAGGCAAGTCCTGAGGGAAACTGGGAGCAAAATCCATGGTAAAAAATACATGGAAAAACGGTAATTCCAGAGAGAAACTGGGAGCAAAATCCATGGAAAAAAGGTCATTCCTGAGGGAAACTGGGAGCCAAATTCATGGAAAAAAAATCCATGGAAGAAAAGTCATTTCCAATAGAAACTGGGAGCAAAACCCATGGGAAAAAAATGGAAAAAAGGCAATTCCTGAGAAACTAAGAGCAAAATCCATGGGAAAAAACTATGGGAAAAAATGTCATTTCCAAGAGAAACTGGGAACAAAATCCATGGAAAAAAGGTCATTCCTGAGGGAAACTGGGAGCCAAATTCATGGGAAAAAAATCCATGGAAGAAAAGTCATTTCCAATAGAAACTGGGAGCAAAACCCATGGGAAAAAACTATGGAAAAAAAAGTCATTTCCAAGAGAAACTGGGAACAAAATCCATGGAAAAAAGTTCATTCCTGAGGGTGGCCGAGGCGTTCTGGGAGCTTTTTGGGGAACAAATCCCACTCTGCTCAAACACCAGCCCATAAAAATGTGGAATGCAGCCCCAAAAAATGGGAGAGGGGGGAGGGAAAGGGGACAGGCGTGGCAGTGCCACCCCCGGTGCCAGCGGTGCCACCCCCGGTGCCAGCGGTGCCACCCAGCCCCTCCCGGGACTCACCTGCCACCGCCGCGTCCTCCCGGCAGCTCTCGCGGACCTTCTGGTGGCACACGAAGGCCAGCACGGCCAGCAGGGCCACCACGCACACGGCCAGGGCCACTGTCACCCACAGCGCCACCGCCGGGAACGCCTGGGGCTGGCCTTGCGGGAGGGACGGGAAAGGGCCGGGGTCAGCAGCCGGGAATGCCGGGGAGCCCGCGCCCGGGGGAGCACACATCTGGGGGAGCCCACATCTGGGGGAGCCCACATCTGGGGGAGCCCACATCTGGGGGAGCCCACATCTGGGGTGATCCCATATCCAGGGGGAGCCCACATCTGGGGTGAGCCCACATCCGGGGTGATCCCATATCCGGGGTTATCCCATATCCAGGGTGAGCCCACATCCGGGGCAATCCCATATCCAGGGGGATCCCATACCTGGGGTGATCCCACATCTGGGGTGATCTAACATTGAGGACAACCCCACACCCAGGGTGATTCAAGGTGACCCCACATCCAAGGGGATCCCACACCCAGGGTGATCCAACATTGAAGGTGACCCCACACCCAGGATGATCCCATATCCAGGGGGATCCCATATCTGGGGTGGTCCCATATCTGGGGAGATCCCACATCTGGGGTGATCCCATATCCAGGGGGATCCCATATCCAGGGGGATCCCACATCTGGGGTGATCCCATATCTGGGGTGATCCCATATCTGGGGTGAGCCCATATCCGGGGTGAGCCCATATCCGGGGTGCCACCACGGTCACCTCCTCCAACCCTCCTCGCTGCCACCACGGCCACCTCCCCCAGCCCTCTGTGGTGCCACCACGATCACCTCCCCTCATGCCTCCTGGCTGACTTTGAGTGGCAGTGCCACCATGGTCACCTCCCCAGCCCCATCTGAGTGGCTTTGGGTGCCAGTGCCACCATGGTCATCTCCCCCAATGCCTCCTTGGCTGGTTTTGGGTGACAGTGTCACCTCTCCCAGCCCTCCTGGCTGGCTTTGGGTGCCAGTGTCACCACGGCCACCTCCCCAGCCCTCCTGGCTGTCTCTGGGTGCCAATGCCACCTCCCCAGCCCTCCTGGCTGGCTCTGGGTGTCAGTGCCACCTCCCCAGCCCTCCTGGCTGGCTCTGGGTGTCAGTGCCACCTCCCCAGCCCTCCTGGCTGGCTCTGGGTGCCAATGCCACCTCCCCAGCCCCCCTGGCTGGCTCTGGGTGCCAGTGCCACCTCCCCAGCCCTCCTGGGTGGCTTTGGGTGCCAGTGCCACCATGGTCATCTCCCCCAATGCCTCCTTGGCTGGTTTTGGGTGACAGTGTCACCTCCCCCAGCTCTCCTGGCTGGCTCTGGGTGACAATGCCACCTCCCCAGCCCTCCTGGCTGGCTTTGGGTGTCAGTGCCACCTCCCCAGCCCTCCTGCTGTGGGTGCCAATGCCACCTCCCCAGCCCTCCTGGCTGGCTCTGGGTGACAGTGCCACCTCCCCAGCCCTCCTGGCTGGCTCTGGGTGCCAGTGTCACCTCCCCAGCCCTCCTGGCTGGCTCTGGGTGACAATGCCACCTCCCCCAGCCCTCTTGGCTGGCTTTGGGTGCCAGTGTCACCACGGCCACCTCCCCCAGGCCTCCCAGGTGGCTTTGGGTGCCAGTGCCACCTCCCCCAGCCCTCCTGGCCGGCTCTGGGTGCCAATGCCACCTCCCCAGCCCTCCTGGCTGGCTCTGGGTGCCAGTGCCACCTCCCCAGCCCTCCTGGGTGGCTTTGGGTGGCAGTGCCACCTCCCCAGCCCTCCTGGCTGGCTCTGGGTGCCAGTGCCACCTCCCCTGCTGCCTCCTGGCTGGCTCTGGGTGGCAGTGCCACCTCCCCAGCCCCCCTGTGTGTGTGGCAGTGCCAGGTGCCCGTGCTCACCCGTGATGGTGACGGAGGCGTGGCCGTGCTGGCGCAGCGCGGTGTTGAGCACCAGGCAGGAGTAGGTGACGCCGGGCTCCAGCAGCACCCGCAGGACGCTGCGCACCTCGAACAGCCCCTCCTCGTTGGCCACCTGCCACGTGGTGACGTTGGCGGTCAGGTTGGCACCGTGGCCGTCCTGCCACAGCACGCTGGCCTCGGGGTAGCCGCCGGACGTGTGGCACGTCACCACGGCCACGTCGCCCGGCTTCAGGTCCTTGCTGGGCTCCAGGTGCACACTGGGCTTAGAGTAGGGAGCTGGGGGACAGGGGGACAGGAGTGAGGGTGGGATGGGGAGCGGGGACTGGGATGGGGCTAAAGCCACCCTCAGCTGAGGGTCACTGCTGGCCGAGGTGGCCCTGCAGCCAGGAGCCTCAGCAGGGCACAGATAGCACTGCCCAGGGAATATTTTGGGGACAAGAGGGGACCGGAGCGAGGACTGGGATCAGGAGCAGGGCCAGAAGCCCCAATTGGAATGTGACTAAAGCCACCCTCAGCTGAGGGTCCCCACTCGCTGAGGTGGCCCTGCAGACAGGAGCCTCAGCAGGGCACGGATTGCAGTGCCCAGGGAATATTTTGGGGACAAGGGGGGACCAGAGTGGGGATTGGGATGGGGAGCGGGGCCAGCCAGGACTGGGATGGGGCTAAAGCCACCCTCAGCTGAGGCTCCCCGCCGGCCCAGACGTCCCCGCAGTGGGACCCTCAGAGGATGGCGCTGCCCAGGGAATATTTTGGGGAGGTGCTGCAGGGGACAGGAGCAAGGATTGGGATGGGGAGCTGGGCCAGCCCCAATTGGGACGGGGCTAAAGCCATCCTCAGCTGAGGGTCACTGCCGGCTGAGGTGGCCCTGCAGACAGGAGCCTCAGCAGGGCACAGATTGCAGTGCCCAGGGAATATTTTGGGGACAGGAGAGAGGATTGGGATGGGGAGCGGGGCCAGCCAGGACTGGGATGGGGCTAAACCCATTCTCAGCTGAGGCTCCTCGCTGGCTGAGGTGGCCCCGCAGCCAGGAGGCTCAGCAGGGCACGGATCGCACTGCCCAGGGAATATTTTGGGGACAAGAGGGGACCAGAGTGGGGATTGGGATGGGGAGTTGGCCAGCCAGGATTGGGATGGGCTCTTCCAGCTCCTAAACACATCCTCAGCTGGCCAAGGTGGCCCCTCAGCCAGGAGCCTCAGCAGGACACGGATTGCACTGCCCAGGGAATATTTTGGGGACGTGCAGCAGGGGACAAGGGGGGACTGGAGTGAGGATTGGGATCAGGAGTGGGACCAGCCATGACTGGGATGTGACTAAACCCATCCTCAGCTGAGGGTCACTGCTGGCTGAGGTGGCCCTGCAGACAGGAGCCTCAGCAGGGCACGGATCGCACTGCCCAGGGAATATTTTGGGGACAAGAGGGGACCGGAGCGAGGACTGGGATCAGGAACAGGCCCAGCCAGGATTGGGACGGGGCTAAACCCACCCTCAGCTGAGGCTCCCCGCCAGCCCAGACACCCCCACAGCAGCACCCTCAGCAGATAGCGCTACCAGGGGAACATTTCACATTTCGGGGAGGCTCCCCAACATCCCAGAGCCCCCCGGTGCCCCTCGGGGCGCTCACCCGCCACCTGCAGCGTGAGGGCGGCGCTGTCGTAGTCGCGCACGCGCACGAAGCAGGTGAAGCTGCCCTCGTCGGCGATGCGCACGCGGCGCAGCAGCAGGGACACGTTGCCCAGGGCCAGCTGGTCGTAGAAGAGCGCCGTGCGGTTGGCGTAGCCCCGGCCCTGGTCCTGCAGGAGGTCACGGCCCCCGGAGAAGCCGTGCACCAGGCGCTTGGTGTCCGTCAGCTGCCAGATCAGGCTCAGCTCCGCCACGCTGAAGTTGGCCTCGGGGGAGAAGGAGCAGAGCAAGGTGGCGTCCTGGCCAAACAGGGCCACCACGGGTTCCTCTGGTACCTGGATCTCCATGGCACCTGCGGGAGGGCACGGGGATACGTTGGGATGAGGAGAACCTCAGCTGGATCCCCCACCTGAGAAAAGCTAGATAAAGTCAGGGAATCTCAGAAAAACGGGAAGCTGGACAGGACAAACGCAGATCTGAACCAATGTGGTTAATCAAACGTTCTCCGTTTATTCAAGATAAGGTGGTAGTTTATATAAGCTTCCACATAGTTTACAGAAACAAAGACACTCTGATTGGCAAGCTAACATTGTTTACCTTTTCCTTAAAACAGCCTACACCTTACACTATAAACCTACACTAATTAACACCCAGACAACCCAGTGGTCCCCATCACACCTTAACACTATTTTCTATCTGCGCCACAAGCTCTGAATTTCCAACTGCGTCAGAGGCTTGAAGGCCTCACCAGGCCCAAATCTGAGGCCTAGACTGGAGTAGCTCAAATTTCATAACTCATGTCCTCTTTCTCTCAAAAATGCTGCAACATCTAGAGAATCCCTCCCTCCTGCCTGTGGCAGGGACATGTGGGCAGGTGGCATCAGAACTGTCCCCAGCCATGCCACCCTGATGGAAGTGGGACAATCCCAGACAAACCAGGGGCACCTTCAGCTGCCAGGAACACCCAAACCTGGATAACATCCAAAAAAACCAGGGGATGCCCATGGAAGGGACACGTGGGCAGGTGGCATCTCAGGATTGTCCCCGGCCATGCCACCCTGCTGGAAGGGGGACAGTCCCACATCTGGAACCAAACTGGGGCACCTGCAGCTTCCAGGAGCTGCCGTGGGCACCCAAACGTGGATAACACCCAAGCAATGCCCATGGGAGGGACATGTGGGCAGGTGGCATCAGAACTGTCCCCAGCCATGCCACCCTGATGGAAGTGGGACAATCCCAGACAAACCAGGGCACCTTCAGCTGCCAGGAGCACCCAAACCTGGATAACATCCAAGAACACCAGGGGATGCCCATGGAAGGGACACGTGGGCAGGTGGCATCTCAGGATTGTCCCAGGCCGTGCCACCCTGATGGAAGGGGGACAGTCCCACATCTGGAACCAAACTGGGGCACCTTTGACTGCCAGGAGCTGCCAGGAGCTGCCAGGGGCACCCAAACCTGCTCAGGGACACGGAGCCCGGATTGTCCCCAGGGGGACAGGCCAGCGGGTGGCGGCGGTGGGGACACGGTCCCCAGGAGGAGCCAGCCCTGGCCAGGCTGGCAGCGCTAGGTGGCACCAGTGCTGCAGCACGGTGACAGCCGGGGTGGCACAGCAAATTCCAGCTCATCCCAGTGCCCTGGGAATGATTCCAGCTCATCCCAGTGCCATGGCACGATCCCAGCACATCCCAGTGCCCTGGGAATGATTCCAGCACATCCCAGTGCCATGGGAATGATCCCAGCTCATCCCAGTGCCATGGGAATGATCCCAGCTCATCCCAGTGCCATGGGATGATTCCAGCACATCCCAGTGCCCTGGGAATGATTCCAGCCCCATCCCAGTGCCATGGGATGATTCCAGCTCCATCCCAGTGCCATGGCACGATTCCAGTACATCCCAATGCCATGGGATGATCCCAGCACATCCCAGTGCCCTGGGAATGATTCCAGCACATCCCAGTGCCATGGGAATGATTCCAGTCCCATCCCAGTGCCATGGCACGATCCCAGCACATCCCAGTGCCATGGGAATGATCCCAGCACATCCCAGTGCCCTGGGAATGATTCCAGCTCCATCCCAGTGCCCTGGGAATGATTCCAGCACATCCCAGTGCCATGGCACGATCCCAGCTCATCCCAGTGCCCTGGCATGGTTCCAGCTCCATCTCCAGCTGGGCGCTGGCAGTGTCCCCTGCCAGGAGGTGCCACCTGAGGCTGTCACCCCACGGAGCACCGATCCTGGAGGAACGCCCGGCGGGAGATGCCACTGTGGGGCAGGGCTCCGTGGGGACACGGGTGGCACTGGGGACACCAGCCCCACTCACCTGCCAGGCCCAGCGCCAGGATGAGCAGCGGGAAGGGCATCCTTGGCACGAGAGAAGCCGGGATGAGGGAGCAGGAGCGGGAATCCTGGCGGGAGGATTCTCTCTGCGGAGCCGGAGCTGCGGGAAAACACGAGGAAACGCTGGGAAGGAGGGACACGGAATGAGGGCAGGTAACCAGGCCGGGGATCCCACGGCATTCCTGGGGATCCCATGGCATTCCTGGGGATCCCATGGCATTCCTGGGGATCCCATGGCATTCCCAGGGATCCCATGGCATTCCCAGGGATCCCATGGCATTCCCAGGGATCCCACGGCATTCCTGGGGATCCCACGGCATTCCCAGGGATCCCATGGCATTCCTGGGGATCCCACAGCATTCCCAGGGATCCCACGGCATTCCCAGGGATCCCATGGCATTCCCAGGGATCCCATGGCATTCCCAGGGATCCCATGGCATTCCTGGGAATCCCACAGCATTCCCAGGGATCCCACAGCATTCCCAGGGATCCCATGGCATTCCTGGGGATCCCACAGCATTCCCAGGGATCCCACAGCATTCCCAGGGATCCCATGGCATTCCCAGGGATCCCATGGCATTCCCAGGGATCCCATGGCATTCCCAGGGATCCCACAGCAGCCATTCCCAGGGATCCTACACCACCAATTCCCAGGGATCCCACACCTGCCATTCCCAGAGATCCCACAGCATTCCCAGGGATCCCATGGCATTCCCAGGGATCCCACGGCATTCCCAGGGATCCCACAGCAGCCATTTCCAGGGATCCCACAGCAGCCATTCCCAGGGATCCCACAGTATTCCCAGGGATCTCACAGCAGCCATTCCCAGGGATCCCACAGCATCCCCAGGGATCCCACACCTGCCATTCCCAGGGATCCCGGGGATCCCACAGCAGCCATTCCCGGGGAGCACCACCCCATCAGACACCACGGGGCTGCATTCCCGGCACCGATGGCAGCTCTGGAGGTGGTGGCCCTGCCTCAGGGAATCCACGTGAGCCCCTTCCCTTCCCTTCCCTTCCCTTCCCTTCCCTTCCCTTCCCTTCCCTTCCCTTCCCTTCCCTTCCCTTCCCTTCCCTTCCCTTCCCTTCCCTTCCCTTCCCGTTTCCCCTTGTGCCTCAGTTTCCCCCATTCCCCATGCCTCAGTTTCCCCGTTGTGCCTCAGTTTCCCCATTCCCCATGCCTCAGTTTCCCCTTTGTGCCTCAGTTTCTTCCATTCCCTGTGCACCAGTTTCCCCTTGTGCCTCAGTTTCCCCATTCCCTGTGCCTCAGTTTCCCCGTTGTGCCTCAGTTTCCCCGTTGTGCCTCAGTTTCCCCGTTGTGCCTCAGTTTCCCCTAGTCCCTGACCCCATTTCCTCCTTGTGCCTCAATCCTCCCCCGGCTGAGAGAAGGAACGAGGAGACATCGAGATCGATGGAAAAGGAGTCCCAGGTGGGAGGGGGGAGGAGGTGCCTTGATTTTAGGGCTGAAATCCTCTTGTAAGGCACAGAGAAAAAGATTCTTTTTCCCCTTAACATGTGAAACTATGTGGAGATGAAGGGTCCGAATGAATATTGAGCAAAGATGTTAAAGCAGCTGTGATCCCATGAGAAGTTTAAACAGAGAAAAAGAAAAATGGGATGAGACCCTGCACCCTCAGGAAGAAAAACATAAAGATCTCTGTTCCTAGAGATGAAGATAATTTTAGAGATAGGTAATGAGAAATTTTACCTCTAAACAACACCCCAGAAGTGAACACAGCCCCCAAACAAACTGTGGGAAACCAGAGAAATGTTTTCCTTCCTGCCAAAAAAGTCTCCACATCAACAAGACTTCTCTCCCTAAGTGAGCTAAAGAAAGATTATTTTACAAGTAGGAAACTAGGTAAAAAATTTAAAGTTTATGGGGGTGTCCGGGTCAGCCCCACTCTGCCCCTCGAGCCAAGAGCCAGGCTGAGCTCAGGATTATTTTTAGGCCTGGCTCAAGCTGTGGGCGAGCAGCAGCAACGCCTGACCTGGGGCTCTGCAGGGCTGGGGTGGGCAAAGGTGGGGCACGGCCCCCAAATCCTACTGGGGGTTCGGGGTGTGGGGTTTGGGGTTAGCAAGGGGAGAGGATTCGGGGTGATGACACCTGGCAGGAAAAAGGGATGAGGATTTGGGGTGATACTGGGAAGAAGAAGGGATTTGGGGTGACACTGGGAGAAAAGGATGAGGATTTGGGGTGATACCGGGAAGAAGAAGGGATTTGGGGTGCTACTGGGAGAAAAGGATGAGGATTTGGGGTGATAGTGGGAAGAAGAAGGGATTTGGGATGACACTGGGAGAAAAGGATGAGGATTTGTGGTGATACTGGGAGGAGGAAGGGATTTGGGGTGATGTTAGGAAGGAGGAAGGGATGAGGATTTGGGGTGATACTGAGAGGAGAAAAGGATGAGGATTTGGGGTGATACTGGGAAGAAGAAGGGATTTGGGGTGCTACTGGGAGGAGGAAGGGATTTGGGGTGATTCTAGGAAGGAGGAAGGGATGAGGATTTGGGGTACAATCCTTTGCAGAGGGAAGGGATGAGGATTTGGGGTGACACTGGGAGGAAGAAGGGATGAGGATTTGGGGTACAACACCGGAAAAGAGGAAGGGATGAGGAATTGGGGTACAACACCGGAAAAGAGGAAGGGATGAGGAATTGGGGTACAATCCTTCGCAGAGGGAAGGGATGAGGATTTGGGGTGACACTGGGAGGAAGAAGGGATGAGGATTTGGGGTGCAATACTTGACAGAAGGAAGGGACGAGGACTTGGGGTGATAATGGGAGGAGGATTTGGGGTACAATACCGGAAAGGATGAAGGGATGAGGATTTGGGGTACAATACCGGAAAGGAGGAAGGGATGAGGATTTGGGGCACAACACTTGACAGAAGGAAGGGACGAGGACTGGCTCGGGCTGATCCTGGCCGGGAGGAAGGCGCTGGGACCGGGGGTGCCCCGCGGCCCGCAGGGAGGCCGGGCGGGCTCCCCGTTGTCTCGGCGGGGAAAAGGGGAACCAGCCCTTCCTCCCGGCACCGCGGGGCGCGTCCAGCCCCGGGTACCCCAGAGGGCGCTGCCAGCGGCACTTCCAAGCATCCCGGGGTGCCACCCACCCCCGCACCGACCCGGGGGGACCCCCGAACCCCCCGAACCCCCCGGCCCGGCCCGGGGCAGCCCCATTCATTCCTCGCTCCTTCCCTCGCTCCGTTTCTCCCCCGGAACCCCGCCCGGCGCCGAGCCGCGGCCCCCGAGCGGGCAGGCCCCGCTGCGGCCGGACCGGCCGGACCCGCGCCCCCCGAGCCCCCCCTGAGCCCCCCCGGGCCCCCCGGCACTCACCGGGCCCGCGGCGGAGGCAGCGCGGGCGGCGGGCGGCGGCCCCGGCACGGCTGGATCCGGCCGCTTCCTGCCGGGAGCGGCGCGGGAGGAGCCTGGAGGCACCGGGAGCGAGGGGACTGGGAGCCGGGAATGGGATTGGGGAGCTGGGAATGGGAGAGAGGGGATTGGGGAGCCGGGAATGGGACTGGGGAGCCGGGAATGGGAGAGAGGGGATTGGGGAGCCGGGAATGGGAGAGAGGGGATTGGGGAGCCGGGAATGGGATTGGAGAGCCGGGAATGGGAGAGAGGGGACTGGGGAGCGGGGAATGGGAGCGAGGGGATCGGGGAGCCGGGAATGGGAGAGAGGGGATTGGGGAGCCGGGAATGGGAGAGAGGGGATTGGGGAGCCGGGAATGGGAGCGAGGGGATTGGGGAGCCGGGAATGGGACTGGGGAGCCGGGAATGGGAGCGAGGGGATTGGGGAGCCGGGAATGGGAGAGAGGGGATTGGGGAGCCGGGAATGGGAGAGAGGGGATTGGGGAGCCGGGAATGGGACTGGGGAGCCGAGAATGGGAGCGAGGGGACTGGGGAGCCTGGAGGGGGACAGGGAACGGGGGGATTGGGGAGCCAGGAATGGGGATTGGGGAGCCGGGAATGGGATTGGGGAGCTGGGAATGGGGATTGGGGAGCCGGGAATGGGACTGGGGAGCCAGGAATGGGGATTGGGGAGCCGGGAATGGGATTGGGGAGCTGGGAATGGGGATTGGGGAGCCGGGAATGGGATTGGGGAGCCGGGAATGGGGATTGGGGAGCCGGGAATGGGGATTGGGGAGCCGGGAATGGGATTGGGGAGCTGGGAATGGGGACTGGGGAGCCTGGAGGGGGACAGGGAGCGAGGGGATTGGGGAGCCAGGAATGGGAGCAAGGGGACTGGGGAGCCTGGAGGGGGACGGGGAGTGGGGGGACTGGGGAGCCGGGAATGGGACAAAGAGCGAGGGGACTGGGGAGCCGGGAATGGGATTGGGGAGGCGGGAATGGGATTGGGGAGCCTGAAGAGGCACCAGGAGCTCGGGAATTGGGGAGCTGGGAACGGGTATTGGGGAACCAGGAATGGGGATTGAGGAGCCTGTGGGATCAGGACGCCTGGGGAGCCTGGGAACTGGGGACTGGGGAGCAGTGAGCTGGGGATTGGGGATTGGGGAGCGTGAGGGATTGGGGTGTACAGCGCTGGGGGATTTGGGGTTGACAGAGCCGTAGGGATTGGGGAGCACCAGGCCAGAGGGATTGGGGGTGTTGGGAGGCTGAGGGTTGGGGTACAGGCATTGGGGGGCACTGAGCCAGGGGAACAGGACACCCTGAGCCAGGGATTTGGGGTGCAGGGAGCCAGGGGAACAGGACACCCTGAGCCAGGGATTTGGGGTGCAGGGAGCCAGGGGAACAGGACACCCTGAGGCTGGGGTTTGGGGTGCAGGGAGCCAGGGGAACAGGACACCCTGAGGCTGGGGTTTGGGGTGCAGGGAGCCAGGGGAACAGGACACCCTGAGCCTGGGGTTTGGGGTGCAGGGAGCCAGGGGAACAGGACACCCTGAGCCTGGGGTTTGGGGTGCAGGGAGCCAGGGGAACAGGACACAGCAATGCAGAGGATTGGGGTACACAGAGGCAGGGAATTTTGGGGTGCACAGTGTTGGGGAAACGGGGTGCATGGGACTCAAAGGTGGGACGTGCAGTCCCAAGGGATTGGGGTGCACAGAACCAGGGATTTTGGAGAGCTCAGATTTGGGATTTTGGAGATCTGAAATTCGGGACTTTGGAGATCTCAGATTTGGGATTTTGGAGATCTCAAATTCGGGACTTTGGAGATCTCAGATTTGGGATTTTGGAGATCTCAGGTTTGGGATTTTGGAGATCTCAGATCTGGGATTTTGGAGATCTCAAATTCAGGATGAGGTGCAGGGAACCAGGGACTTTGGGATCTCAAATTTGGGATTTTGGAGCTCTCAGGGTCGGGATTTTGGAGATCTCAAATTTGGGATTTTGGAGCTCTTAGGTTTGGGATTTTGGAGCTCTCAGGTTTGGGATTTTGGAGCTCTCAGATTTGGGATTTTGGAGAGCTCAAATTCGGGATTTTGGATCTCTCAGATTCGGGATTTTGGAGATCTCAGATTTAGGATTTTGGAGATCTCAAATTCAGGATGAGGTGCAGGGAACAAGGGACTTTGGAGATCTCAGATTTGGGATTTTGGAGCTCTCAAGTTTGGGATTTTGGAGCTCTCAGGTTTGGGATTTTGGTGCTCTCAGGTTTGGGATTTTGGAGCTCTCGGATTCGGGATTTTGGAGCTCTCAGGTTCGGGATTTTGGAGCTCTCGGATTCGGGATTTTGGAGCTCTCAGGTTCAGGATTTTGTATCTCTCAATTTCAGGATTTTGGATCTCTCAGATTTGGGATTTTGGAGCTCTCAATTTCAGGATTTTGGAGCTCTCAGGTTTGGGATTTTGGAGCTCTCAGGTTCAGGATTTTGGAGCTCTCAGGTTCAGGGTGAGGTCAGGGAATCAGGCAGGAAGCGGAACCATCTCCCTGGCAGGACAAAAGGCAGCTGGAATTTGCCAGGTGGAGCCCAGGCCGCTTCCCAGGAAAATCCTGGTTAATGATTTCCCTGGGAACACGGGGCTGTCACAGTCTGACATGGGAGGAATTTAGGGAATAAACCTAAATTAACCTCAAATTAGAGGTTCATTTGAGGTTAAAAATCTCAAAAAAAAAAAAAATCTCAAATTTGTTTGGAGAAATCTCAAAAAAAAAAAAAACTCACCTTTTTTTTTGAGAAAAATCTCAATTTTTTTGAGGAAAATCTCTTTTTTTTTTTTTTTTGGAGGGAAAAAGTCTCAAATGTTCAAAATGGATCTCAAATTTGAAAAATCAAAAAATCATTTTCTGGCTGCAGAGCACAGGAAGCTCCTCACCCTTTTAATTACAGGGGAAAGCTGCAGAGCTGAATATGGAAAAGTTAATTTAAAATAAGCCCAGACTTGCTGTATTTAACCATTCTATATTTGCTTTTTGGTTTTTTTGTTGTTGTTGTTTTTGAGTTTTGTTTTTTTTTTTCCTTTCCTGGCAGGCAAGGGAGGATTTTGCAATTCTGTAAACTTGGAGATAAGAAATGTTGATTTAGAAATATTATGGAATAGGATGGATGTTGTTGGAAGAGAAATGGAGTTAGAAAGCACGTTTTAAAAGATGGTTTTATAAATAAGATTAAATGCTTCAGGGAAGTGGAATTATGAAAGATGCAGTAGGGTTTGTGAGGGGTTTTAGATTATTGCTTTTAAGGCATTTATTGTGTGGTGTGGTAAATGTTGACAGGTTAAAAAACATTTCTAGTGTTTTGGGATAAGGAAATAGCTGGGTTTGATTGTGATGGTGTGAATTATAACATCTGGATTACTTTTTTTCTGAGATTGAAAGCGGGATAAATGTATTTATTTTAATAATAAATTAAATAATAAATTTATAATTTTATTTATTTATTTATTTTAAATGGCTGGAACACAGAGTTCCAGGTGCTGCTGATGTCGGGGGCAGCTCTGCAGGTGGGGTCTCACCTGAGCAGGGCACAATTCCCTCCCTCCCCCACTGCTGGCACAGCAAACCTCAGCACCCCACAGGTGGAATCCACGAAAACGTCATCAACCCCCCCTAAAAATACATCAATCCCCCCAAAAAAGACATCAATCCCCCAAAAAAGACATCAAACCCCTCAAAAAAGACATAAATCCCCCACAAAGAGACATAAATACCCCCAAAAGACATCAATCCCCCAAAAAGATATAAATCTCACCCAAAAATACATCAAACCCCTCAAAAAAGACATCAATCCCCCCCAAAAAGACATAAATGCCCCCAAAAAAGACATCAATCCCCCCAAAAAGACATAAATGCCCCCAAAAAAGACATCAATCCTCCCAAAAAAAACATAAATCTCCCCCAAAAATACATCAAACCCTTCCATAGATCCATTTCTCCACAGTATCCGGTGTTGTTTGCAAGGCCATGCTTTGAAACTTGCTTCTGGTTCCATTCTCTCTCAGCAATGTCTGTCCTATCCCATGGCATTTCTAAGTCAGCATTTCTTATCTCAAGGTTTGCACACAGTGTGAGCTTTCTGTCAGGCTTGGAGAATTCCCTACAAACCAATTTCCTGCAGATTTTCCCCCCCAGATTGAAGAAATATGAGACTTTTTCCCCAAAAGGCATCACCCTTGGGTGCTCTGCCACAGATTCACAGAGTCCCACCCATCCCCTGCAGCCAGCCTGGAAGGCAGCAGGAGCCTTCACCTGGCAAATCTGAAATTCCACATTCACCTGGCAAATCTGAAATTCCACATTCACCTGGCAAATCTGAAATTCCAAATTCACCTGGCAAACCTGAAATTCCAAATTCACCTGGCACACCTGAAATTCCACATTCACCTGGCAAATCTGAAATTCCAAATTCACCTGGCAAATCTGAAATTCCGAATTCACCTGGCACACCTGAAATTCCAAATTCACCTGGCAAATCTGAAATTCCACATTCACCTGGCAAATCTGAAATTCTGAATTCACCTGGCAAATCTGAAATTCCAAATTCACCTGGCAAACCTGAAATTCCCAGAAGGGCAGGAAGGAGCCAGAGGTTCCTGCTCCAGTGCCAAAGCACGTGCAGCGTTTTTGATCTCCCAGGAAATTAATTCAGCTCCGAGCAGCGCAGCTATCTGTAAATATCAGCCAGGTATTTTGTTATCAGAGAAAAACCACCAGGCTTTTCTTTTGCCCAGTGTGGCTTTCATCCCTTCAGGGTTTGGGGGAAAAAAGAGCTGCTATCTCCAAAAGCTTTCCTTGAGGTCTTTTCTTCAATAAACTACAAAGCCCATGGTGCTACAACAAATAAACTGCTTTTTGCTGCAGAGCAGGGGCAGCCAGGCAGGACAAACAGCTGGCAGTGCCCACGGGGTCACCACGTCCCCAGTCAAAACCACCCGTGGCTTCGATTTTAGCCCGTGGAAAAAACTGCCAATTTTGTATCAGGAATTACAAGTCACAAGGGTTTGAGTAGTGTGATGTTTGAACTAACACAGGGTGGAAAAGTAGAATTTTGGGATTTTTAGAATGGGGTACAAGGGGGTA